GGGTAAGTGCCTACCCCTCCAAATGATGCGGAAAGGGAATTCCGTTAAAGGAATCCAGGGGCTTGCCATTCTTTTCATCCTTGTCCCCGGAGTCGGACTTGGGCCGTGCAAGCCCCACCGGAACATGAGGGTGAGAAGTGAGGGACTGTTGCCCAGCTTCATTCTCTCACCCAATACTTGTTTCCCACGCTGGCTTCCGCTGGAATCCGGAAGTCAGTTCTGTCCCTGGGCATGGACAGATAGTCATAACCAATGCCTAAGCAACCACTCACATTTTTTGTATAAAGTTGTGGCCAAAATTATGCCAAAAACCTTAAACAAAAATTGATGTGTGAAGTGTGAATTTTTTGGGGGTGGCATTGTGGGACTCAACATGCAACTCCAAGAACGAGTTCTCCCTCCAACTGAACTCCCTGACAGCTGCAGACTCAGCCGTGTATTTCTGTGCTCGAGATAGCACAGAGACACACAGCAATTGGGACTCTGAACAAAAAGAAGAAACTGATTCTGAATGCAGAAAGTTGGTTCTATTCAATCACAATGCATAAATTACTTTGCAAACGCAATGCAAAAGAATTCAATGAGAAAATTAAAGGAGTACTGAGGCTTTTTTAGTTAAGGTTCTCATGTTGTTTTCTGTATTTAGGCAGGTAATCATGATGGTGGACTCGATTCCCGTGTCAGTCTATTCCAGCTGTATGTTTCTGTGCATCCAGCCAAATATCATGGTTTTGCTTCCTTAGCAAAGATGAAAATGTATGAGATGCTTCCATGCTGGAACCTATCATGTCTCTGAAAAGATAGTTGGTTCTATTCAATCACAATAAATAAATAAGTTTGCAAACCCAATGGAAATTAAGAATTCAATGAGAATAATAAAGAGGTACTGCAAAAATTGTGCAAAAGTATTCCCTCGGGAAAGGTTCTCATGTTCCCCTATATATATATATATAGCTAAACATAAACTGGAATGATGGATTAGATTCTGTACAGTTATGAGACAAGTACGGTAATATCCTCTTCAGGTATCAATGTTGTGAGCCTCCGTCACAGGTTCAGGTTGTATATATGTTTAAATAAACCATATATCATAAAGACAACATAGTCTCTATAGTGCCTCATTTTCAAAAAGGAAATATGGACCCTGCATGAATTCCTGGAACCCTCAGAATCTTGCACCGCTCAGAGATTGGGGTGCTGTGTTGGTATGTTGGTTTGTGTTTCCTTCCACAAAGACAAGTGTTTTCTCCTCTGCTTCATTTGTACTGGTCCCCTGAGAGTTTGACTCCTCAAGAGATTTCCCCACAATTCTGGAAACCACTTTTGAACATGCAAATTGAGCAGAGAAGTGTCAGATGCTTTGTGGCATCATTTGAAATCCTAATAACATCTCTGAATGACTTTACAAAACAACAATTCAAAGTGCAAAAACAATCCAGGGAGACCTTTGCTGCTGGTTTGATAAGGAATGCAGAGATCTCAAAGCACACGTCCGGAATATCTCCTGACAACACTGTAAGGAAGAGGCTACCACCCTACCCCTAGAATATTTCAGGTCTAAAAACTTACTGCAGCATCTTATAAAAAAGAGAGAGATCCGAACCTACCAACAAACAATGGGAACAACTCCACTATGCCATAACCTCAAAGAAAATTCTGGTCCTTAGTTTCTGGGGCATTTAACATCAATGACCTCTCCTCTCCACCTATTTTTCCTAGTGGTTGGTGCCCCTGCTATTCATGTGCCTTGCATGAAGATCTTTTCAGTGGGGCAGCTTGTCATCATTCTATGCAAATTGATGACTCTGAGTGCCCTCCAGTTTCATGAGATGAAATAAAAATGTTAAGAGGCCAGTTTAACTAAGTGAAAGCCATTGGCCCAGATGGTACAAGTCCCAATGTTCTTAAACTAGACCCTGATTGCTGGGCTCTCTTGCTGCCCAACCTATTCACAAAGGTAGATATGTCTGGATTAATGCCAGAGACATGGACAAGTGCAATCATCGTTCCAATATACAAAAAGGGAGAGTGCACATTACCATACAACTGCAGACCAATAAGCCCCCTCTCCATATTGGGGAAGCTATATGCTAAACAAATTCTGGGAAAGCTTACCCAGTGGATGTCCCAATGTGCATTACCAGTCCCTGAGGAGGTGGGCTTTTACCAGGGCAAAACCACCTTGCATCATTGTGTCATACTTTCCCACCTAGTCAATAAATACTCTAGTGTTCTTAATCAAAAACTTTGTACAGCGTTTCTGGACCTAAAAAGAGCCTTTGACTCAATCCTGAGGGAGCTGCTCTGGAACAAACTGTCCATAGTGAACATCGATGAAAGGTTACTCTTTCTCATCTGAAAACTGCACACCTTCACCTGCTGCCAGGCGAGATGCGGCCAAAATCATTGCCAACAAAGGCAAATTACTCCCCTTCTTCTCTGTGGCCATTTAGCTGGGAAAGAATCATGAATTAAGAGTTCAGAGGAAAGGAGGTTATTATATGAAGCACATGCAAATCAGTTGAACCACATCACTGCCTTAAAAGCTGTCCTTTCCAATTCAGTCCTGCAGCCTCCAGCCAGCTAAGACTGAGCCAGTCAAGAAGATGATCCAAACTAATACGATTCTTTGGTTAAACCTCCTTCTCTTCTTGACAGTTCTCCCAGGTAATATTTCTCTCACTGGAAATCCTGGGGATTTGCACACTTTTCTACACACTTTCCCCCTGACTCTCTTTCTTCCATTTTTTAGGCTGTCACTCAGAGGTTCAGTTGGTGGAGACTGGAGGAGGTGCTGTAGCTCCTGGAGGCTCCCTCCGCCTCGCCTGAAAGGCTTCAGGATTCACCTTTACTGATCATGCAATCCACTGGATTCGTCAGTCTCCAGGGAAAGGACTGGAGTGGGTGGCTGGAATTAGCAGACCTTCTGGAAGTAACCAATGGTATAATTCCAAGGTTCAGGGACGATTCACCATCTCCAGAGACAATTCTCAAACTTCAGCCTATTTGCAAATGAACAGCTTGAAGCCTGAGGACTCTGCCTTGTATTACTGTGCAAGAGACACAGTGACAACTTCTGCTTTCCTGCTTGTACAAAAACCCCAGAAGCTCCTTAAGAGCAGATGCTGGAAATAACCTGGCAAAGGATTGGAGTGGCTTATTTGGTATTATGATCCCACCTCCTGGGTACAGTTTTTATTCTTCTGCAATGCAAGGGCAATTATGGGCCTCTAAAGGTGACTCCAACTTCCATCTGCAGATGAACAGCCTGAGAGCAGAAGACACGGCCTTGTACTACTGTGTGTGAGACATGGGGCTTGTCCACACTTCTGTTTGTCGAGCACTTAGAAAGGATGGGTCTAAGAGGTTTTCTGCATGTCCCATGCTTTCTAGGCATAAGATTAAGGGGTGTCTGGTTTGCCACACCACTTTCCCAAAGAAAGTCCATTCTTTACCACAAATGTCACTCCACAGAAGAAAACCCCATTGACGTTTGCTCCTATTCAACAGTAAACAGCAGGCTTTCCTGGGGGGAAGTGGTGAAACAAGAAGAAGTGTGGAAGAGGCAACAGTTTGAGGGATCCCAGCAGACCTAAGGGGGAAAAACCTGGCCCCTGCATTCATGTTAGTAAAGAGATCCCAGAGGGGGCAGCAGAGAACCATGAATCAGAAACCCACAAAGTATACATAACCAAGGAAGTCATTATGCAATAACTATTATATAACTATTATATTAACTTTCATATAGTATCAAAGTGTGGTATGCTGGCTTGACAGGCACGGACATAAAGTCTCTACAGAGGCTGGTGAATACAGCACATGATATCATGGGCTGTCACTTGAGTCCACTAGATGACATTGCAAGGGATTGTTGCCTTAGGAGAATGAAAAAAAAAATTATCAGGGATGACTTACATCCCGGCCAGCACCTCTTTAATCTTCTACCATCAGGCAGGAGATAAAGAAGTATTACCAGTCGTACCAACATGCTAAAAAATAGCTTCTATCCGTGGGCTGTTAGGCTGTTGAACGGAAAATAATATAGTGCAACTGACTTGTGAGGTGGTGTGTTGTGTGATAAGCACACAGAGTGCAATGAGATTGAGTGTTTGGGGGGGGAGGGAGGCTCAGTTAGGCTTGGTTAATTTCATTGTACACAGGTTGTACATTGACAATAAAGGTATTATTATTATATTAACAATACACAGTGCTTTTTTCTGGGGGGGGGGGCGCATACCCCTAAACATTTTGTGAATCTAAGTTTGGCCTCATTGAGGGGCAGTATTTCAATATCAGTAGGAAAATGCGAGTACCCCTAAACATTATTTTTAGAAGAAGAAGAAAAGCACTGACAATACTGAACAATAGTTCTAATGTAAGGTGGTTTTAATGGCAATAAATGAATAAGTTTGTAAAAACAATTTGAAATGATAATTCAATCACCAAAATGAAAAACAACAGATAAAAATTCAGCCAAGGCACTTCCTTGTCATCTCCCAGATGTTCTCCAGCAGAAGCTTATTCAATGTAACATGAGCCAAACTTCTCTCTGTTTTGAGGGGGGGTGGGGAAGGAGGTTGAGTTGGCCGGAGCTGATGGGAATTATAGTCCACAATGATCAGTGGGGACCAGGTTGACGGATGTTGATCTTAGTCTCTTGGAATATTATGTCCCAAGGCTGGATATTAAACTATCTTTAATGAGTGTCCTGGTTGAAAGCACCAGGAGTAGAGATTCTGCAAGCAGTTTCATTCGTAGCTAGATTCCATTCAGATTTACTTAAATACCTTGAGCCAACTTCCCCACTCTGTTCCTCACCAAGCAAATCAGCAGCAATTCTTTGATAGCCCAAAGTCACACATATGACTATTGAGATTGGGTTGCTGAAGGCCTGTGCTGCTCTTTTATTCTGACAGGTATGCAAATTCATAGGCAGCTTCCTGTTTGAACCTGCCATATACATTCCCTGCCCCTGTGATACCCACTCAAACAACCATTGTGTGTCCTGCCTGGGTTGCCACTTTCTTCTTAACCCTCTCCTAGTAAAAGAAGGAAAAATGACACCTTGGTTTCCAGGTGTTTTCCTTTTAGTAATATTCAAAGGTATTTGTTCTTCTTTCATATAGAAATGTTATATTATAGTGGATAATGAACTCACAGTTTAATTGTAGGTCTTTCTTTCAGGTGTCCAGTCACAAATCCAGCTCAAAGAATCAGGAGGGGGCGTCAAAAGACCTGGAGACACCCTCCGCCTCTCCTGCCAAGCCTCTGGGTTCAACTTCGGAGGCTATGCAATGAACTGGGTGAGACAAGCTCCTGGAAAGGGCCTGGAATGGGTGGCCTATATAGGTACATCTTCAACTCCCATTTACTACTCGGATTCTGTCAAAGGAAGATTCACCATTTCCCGGGATGATTCAAGCAGCCAGCTGTCTTTGCAAATGAACAACTTGAAACCAGAGGACACTGCTGTTTATTACTGTGCAAGGCGCACAATGAGAGGAAGTAAATCTAACCTCAGACAAAAACTTTCCTTTGCAAACTTATTAGAAAAAATGTTCCTGGTTGCAGCAAATGAAGTGGTTAGTTCAAGCTAAAAACCTTAATTGGAAACTGGCCCCATTGTTTATCTTTGGATTTGAACTGTGCTCTTGGAGTATCGTGGACCAGTTGTGAGAGACACAGTGACCCTCTTCAGGTGTTCTGAAACACCAGCCAAGCAATGAGAATAGAAGATGCTCCATCCCTTCCCCCTGTTCTGCTATCTTTCCATATGGAGTAGGAAGATCTGAAGTAGGCGTGTAACTGCATTTGGCTGATATTGTAGCATTCCTGATCACGGGAAGGGCTATAAACATGTTCAGCCAAACCTGCTTAAATTCCCCTTTCCGAAGCATGAGGGTGGCGGAGACCAAGGGCATGGGGGTGGGCTGCATAGACATCCATACTCCCTCTGCATACTTTAACCCCCACCTCCAATTGCTTTGAATGCTTGAGTGGGGCTGAATTCCTTGCACATGTGGATCTGGAAGAGAGGCCAGCAACAAGGACCTTGTATCAGTGCATCCCCAGGAATATGTCACGTCCCAAAGGAGCAACCCGATTGCTAGAGCCATACCCTCCAACATTCCTCAAATGAAAATAGGGACATTTCTCACTCCCTGTCAACTTGACTCTCCATTTTTTGCGTCCACTCACCCCGAGCATTTTTATACCCCAACAATAAACAGCACACACACCCTCCACCACTCCGGGAAACCCCCTTAATCCTGATTTAATTCCTTGGTAGATTTACAAAAAGAAAAGCACACACCAATAAATAAATTTAAGAAAGGGTGAAGATTAGAGGCAAAAACAAAAGGCATGTTTTTTAAAAGAAAATAAAGACTCTGTGCTCCGCAACGCTCCCTCTTTCTTCCTTTCCAGGGCAGCCCTGCTCTCTGCCTGTCCCTCAGAGTCACTGTGTCACACAGAGCTGAGCCTCAGTGGCCACTATATCTCCTCCTTCTCTCCAGCAGCTGCTATGAGATCCCCAAGAGAGGAGGCTAGAGGCGGCAGCCATGGAGATGCCATGGAAAAGCAACAGGATGCTCCATCGCAGCTGCCACAGCCACAGCCACCGTCCACTCAAGAGAAGCGCTGGGTCAGCATCCTTCCTGAACTTGGCAGCAGCAGCACTGGCTGGTTTGAAATAGGAACATTCTTTCTCCTTCTTTCTTTGTATTTTTTTCTCCCTGTTTGTTCCTTTTATCTTATTGTATCATGAACATGTTTTCATTTCATAATATATTTCATGGTATATTTGGGTCCAATACTGTCCATTTCATTTGCCTCATTGATGCCTCCAGAAACATGTGGAAGCATTCATAGAGCTACCAGTCATCCAGGACCTGTAGATTTTGCAGAGCAAAATCTGGAATAGTGTGTGATCTGACTGGGAGTTGCCTTTCCATCTGCAAGCAAGTCCAAGCGGGGCTGTTGGGATGGTTGACACTGAGTAGTAGACCAAACAAATTCATGCTCCAGAGATACTTTTTGCTCTTTTATTCTGAGAGCCAAAGGGTTTAGTAATGCTTTTATATATTGATAGGTATGCAAATTTTCAGCTGACCATTTCCTCTTTAAATCAGGCAGCCATCCTATCTTCCTCAACTACAAGACCCTGAATTGCTGGGGCCAGGTTTTGCTCAACCCTCTTCTAGCACTAGACAGGGAAAATGATAGTTTTACTTCATCTTGTTTTCTTTTCAGCAATTTTTGGAGGTAAATCCATTATTTCAAATGAAGAAGGATTAGATATTCTGGCAATTGATGGTGTGCAAAATGTCTCATTAGGATCTCTTCCTTTCTAGGTGTCCAATCAGAGGTCCGACTAGAAGAATCTGGAGGGGGCATCAAAAGTCCAGGAGAGTCCCTCCACCTCTCCTGTCGAGCCTCTGGGTTCAGCTTCATCAGCTATGCTATGGTATGGGTGACACTAGCTCCAGGAAAAGGCTTGGAAAGGGTGGCACATATATCTGCTGATTCAGTTTACATTTACTACTTGGATAAAGTGAAGGGGCGCTTCACCACCTCCAGGGACAATTCCAACAGCCTTCTCTATCTGCAAATGAACAGCCTGACAACAGATGACACAGCTGTGTATTACTGTGCAAGAAGATACACTGTGAGTGAAAGTGAAGCAAAAACTGTCCTTCCCTCACGGCCCCTCACCTTATATGGATTCTATGAACATAACAGAGTGGTTCCTTCTATAACCCAAATTATGAAAATTGTATTGTGAAATGCAATTGGGGAAAGACCACAGAGAGAGAGGTGTGGGTAGAAACTGGTCTACCAAATAAAGGGAAATTTTACATTTGATGCTCTACTACTTCTGCCTGTGTCTCAATATACCAGGGGCATGTGACACACAAAAGGTGGCAGAATAATGGAATGTGGCTCTTGGGTGGCACAGGTTTGCCAGCAAGAGAGGCAGAGCTAGGAAGCAGAGAAAACAGAAGTTCCTCTCTCTTCTGTCTCCCCTTCCAGTCTGCTGCTGCTATTAACCCTTTGGGAGCCAAACAGCAGGAAACTCTTGGCTGCTCCAAGCAGAGAGCATGGAAAGCATACGTGCCATCTAACAGGGGGAGAGCGAGGGGCTGAGGGCCCCCGAGTTTTCAAGGGGACCAGTCCCCCCCAATATGCATCAGCCATGCATGCATGCTGTACAGCATGCTCACTTTAATCCTGCAGCCCATGCAGAGTGCGCACAACACATTGGCATGGTGCACAGCATTCAGCATGTGCGACTGAGGTAACAATGATGCACCATGTTTGAGCACAGCATGGGCATGGCATACAATGTGTGTGCATGACATCAGCACACTGTGCAGCATGCTGACATCACTTGCACACATCTCGCATGCTGGCACCCTCAATCCTGGTAGCAAGGCAGTGCACTTGACAGAGAGGCACTTGACTTGCAGGGTATTCATCCACTTGGGGGGCAGCCCCCTCAGATATTGTATGGGGGCCTGAAGGGAGCTTGGCTACTAGGAGATGATTCCAATGGAAGGCAGGCAGGAACTTACCCTGACACTAACCCAGATTTTACCAGCTCTTTTATATATGGCTTGTTGTTGAAGGAAGGGCTCATGCAAATTCCTCATGGAGACTGTGGGATTCTTGGGGCAGGTGTTATCTCCTTCAATATAAATTGTTCCTTTTCTCCCTGACCCAAAGCCTCCTCTTTCCTACCTCTCTAGCACATTACTTTCTTAATACCATGAAGTTCTTGTGGTTCTTGTTGTCTTTGGTGGCCATTACAAAAGGTAAGTGCAAATTCTGTGGGAAGTTCAAAATATTAGTGTATTTCAAGTGGTGATTATGTGACGTTCAAACACTCATTGAAATCTTCTCTGTTTCCAAGGGGTCTTCTCAGATGTTCAACTTGTATCATCTGGGCCAGGAATGGTGAGACCAGGAGAGGACCTCAGCCTGCTCTGTAAAGTCACAGGTTTCTCCATCTCCACTCAGTCTTCTGTCTGGCACTGGTTCCGTCAAGCTGCTGGAAAAGGTCTAGAATGGATTACAGCAGTACACCCCTATGATGGGACTAAGTGGTATGCCCCTTCTCTGAAGAGCCGAATAACCATTTCTTCAGATTCTTCCAAGAACGAGTTTTCTCTCCAGCTGAACACTCTGGCAGCTGCCGACTCTGCAGTGTATTTTTGTGCCAGGCAATACACAGTGAGACACAGCAATTGGTGCTGTGTACAAAAAGAGGAAACTGATTTTGAATGCAGAAATGTGGTTCTAATAAATGACGATCAATAAATAAGTATGTCAAAACCATGTGAAATGAAAATCAGCACAAAGTGAGACAAGGTATCTTGGGGCTATATACAAAAGGGGAAAGTCTTTCAGAAACAGAATCTCTGTTTTCTGTTCTGTGCATGTAAGATATAGCAACATCATATACATGAAATATCCTATCCTAACCCAGAGGCTGGTGTTTAGGCAATACATGAACATAATATCCAAATAACATAATTTCTTATCTCAGACTACCATTCGTATAGTAGGTGATAAATGATTTATGTTAAACAAAAGCCTTTTATAATGTGAGGGAAGTAATCTGTTTTCATTTTTACATAATACAGTAAAAGTGAACAGTTACAAAACAGCCAGCAGGAGAGGAGCACAAGCCAGATCAACTGCAAAGCAGGGAAAACTTGCAAGGGGTTGGATGAGATGACAATTGGAATCCCTTCCAACTCTAAAATTCTATGTCTAAGTTTGTTGAATTATTCTGAAAAGTGGACAACACAGAATAGGATTCTTCTGCATACACATAAGTTAACAGAGAGACTGGTTTGTGTAAAAATGGCATTGATATTTGCCATTTCACACATTACAGTCAAATTTATCTTCCCATCTTTTAGAAAGACAGAAAAAAGAAAGGAAGATGGCTACCTACTTTGCCAAGCCCCATTTTGCTCTTTTTTTCCTGAGAGCGATATACAAACATACTGTGGTAACAACTACTAAACTGTACATTGGAAAATAATAGCTCGTAGTATAGATGAGGCTTGCCTTCAGAGCCATAGTTCATCAACAGCTGTAGTGGTGCTTTTACCTTACTACATATGCAAATTATTAGAGATTGCTTCCTCTTTAAATCCGTCAGACACCCTCCCTTCCTCAGCCACAGGACCCTGAATACCACAATTTGTTCAACCCTCTCCAGGCATTAGATGGCAAAAATGATAGCTTTGCTTCAGCTTGTTTTCTATTCAGCTGTTTTTAGAGGTAAATCCATCCTTTCAAACAAACAAGAATTGGGCAGCCTGACTGCTAATAATATGCAGAAGAGCTCATTAATATCTCTTTCTTTCTAGTCATCCAATCAGAGGTCCAGCTGGTAGAGTCTGGAGGGGACACAAAAAAGCCTGGAGAGTCCCTCCGCCTTACCTGTCGAGCCTCCGGGTTCACCTTTAGCAGCTATTACATGGCATGGGTGAGACAAGCCCCAGGAAAGGGCCTGGAATGGGTGGCACATATATCTGATGGTTCAGATTACATTTACTACTTGGATTCTGTGAAAGGAAGATTCACCATCTCCAGGGACAATTCAAACAGCCTGCTCTATCTGCAAATGAACAGCCTTAAACCTGAGGACACAGCTTTGTATTACTGTGCAAGATACACAGTGAGAGACTTCCCATTAGACCTTAAACAAAAACCCGTCATTGCATTCCTTTTGTGACGTTTCCAGAGGGGGCACTAAAGCACCAGAAAGTAGAAACTCTCAGAGCAGAGCAGAGCAGAGCAGAGCAGAGCAGACAAAACAAGGGAACAACAATAGCTGCTACTACAGGGAACATCTGTTCTTCTTTGGCCCACCTCTAGCCTGTTGCGAGTTGTCCCATGATCATCTTGTTCCAACTCAGTAGCCCCATTCAAAGCAAATTCCTTTCTTTCTCTCACAGGGCTTCATTATTCCCTCAAGATTTCTGTTTTTTTCACGAATTCTGATTACAGTGGAAGATATTCAGGAGCAACTTCTGCCACCAGCATGCTGTGATCCTCCTGGACCAGGAATAAAGTAATCAGGAAATACTATGCTCATTTCTTGAGACTCAGAGAAACTGATGTTCTGACCTAGATAAGCAAAACAAAAGTAATTTACAATTCTTTCCCCATCACAGCACAATGCCCTGGACTGCTACATTGTTCCTTCCAGCTTGACCCACATAGGTTAGGCAGGTAATCCTCCTCACATCCCAGCTACTTTCCCCATGCAGCCAAGGTTCTTCCTTATCAAGTGTGGTGCCACACAACTGAGCACCAAAATCAGCAGCCTGTCTCAACTGCAATAAAAGCTGGTTTTAGTGAGTGGGGCTTCTACAAAGGCATAGTCCCAAGGGCAGAGGCCATGGGATGAAGACTGTGGGCTTTGCATAGCAAGGCCAGTCAACACGTGAAGAATCATCAACACCTCCAAAATGCTACCACCAACTTGCCTCTTCATAAAACTTTCCTCTTTCAGATTCCAAGAAGCTGGAACCATTGAAAGGTATAAGGGTGGGGGGGGGACGACACACAAATGGGCAGCTAAGTATGGTTGGAATAATTTGATACAGCTAACATGTCTTTTGAGAATTTCACTCCTCTGGAGACTCCAACAGTTCTTTATTAAAAGTTGAGGATGCTTTTGACTCCCCTACCCCAATTCTCTCTCTCTCTCCATTTATTACATGTAGTGTCGAAAATTGTTAGAGGTGCTTTGATTTGTTTTATTGAGCTGCCTCAATTCATTTCTCTTTCTTTCTTTCTCTGATCTATGGATTGCTTGTCATAGAAAGGAACTAACACAACCAACCTAAAGCACAGTGCATCTTTCAGTGGAAGGTAATAAATTGGGAGCATATGGTGTTGCTGTAGCTCTTTAAAAATTGAAATGAACATGGAGAAAGCCTAGAATTCTGCAAAAGGGAGTTAAATGGAATGTCTGTGCATGTATGTAAGTTGTCTATTTGTTATGAAAAGAGAAACCCATGTGGAAACAGGAACTTAGCTTGAGGGTCATTTATACTGGCCTGGCCAGAGCCAATGACTTCTTCATATTGATATGTCCATTGCTCAACTAGACAAGATTTTCCTACTTGCTGACTTACATTTTACAAGAGAAAAACTTCCTTCAGTTTTGAGGGAGGTTGAAACAGAAGCTGAGATGGCTGGGGATGATGAGCATTATCGTTCCCAAAGACCAGTGGGGACAAGGTTGATGAATGTTGATCTAGGTTACATTTTGTAACATTATACCCAAGGCTGATATTTAAATTATCCATAATAGGGATCCTATATCTATCCATTCTTTGGTTAAAAGCACCATGAGTGGATATTCAGCTACCAATTTAATCCCTAGCTTGCTTCAGTTCACTTTTAACTTTAATATCTTGAGGCTACTGCCCCGTTCTTCACCATAAAAAAGATAAAGGGACCCCTGACCATTAGGTCCAGTCATGGCGGTGCTCATCTTGCTTTATTGGTCAAGGGAGCCGGCGTACAGCTTGCGGGTCATGTGGCCAGCATGACTAATTCTGGCAAACCAGAGCAGCACACAGAAACGCCGTTTACCTTCCCACGGAGTGGTACCTATTTATCTACTTGCACTTTGATGTGCTTTCTAACTGCTAGGTTGTCAGGAGCTGGGACTGAACAACAGGAGCTCACCCCGTCACAGGGATTCGAACCACCGACCTTCTGATCGGCAAGTCCTAGGCTCTGTGGTTTAACCCACAGCACCACCTGCGTCCCTTACATCATGGGTGTCGCCAAAAAAAATTGACTGTCCATAGTCACATGTATGCCTAATGAGATTGGGTAGTCAAAGGGCCATAGTGCTCTTTTATCCCCACAGATATGCAAATACTTAAACAGCATCCATATATTATCCCTGCCCTAACTCAAACCCATGTACACAACCTCAGTGTGACACTGCTTGGTTGCTATTTTTTACTTACTCACTTTCCAATTAAAAATAAGGGGAAATGACAGCTTTACTTCAATGTGTTTTCCTTTTTGTAATATTTGAAGGTAATCCTTCTTTCAGATAAAGACCTCTGTTACATTGTAGTTGTAAATGAGCCTGAAGTCTAACCATAAATCTGTCTTTTCAGGTGTCCAGTCAGAAATCCAGCTCACAGCATCAGGAGGAGACATGAAAAGGCCCGGAGAGTCTCTCCGCCTCTCCTGCAGAGCCTCCGGGTTCACCTTCAGCAGCTATTACATGTCATGGGTGAGACAAGCTCCTGGAAAGGGTCTGGAATGGGTTGCCAGAATAGGTACAGCTTCATCTCCCATTAACTACTTGGATTCCATCAAAGGAAGATTCACCATTTCAAGGGATGATTCAAACAGCCAGCTGTATTTGCAAATGAACAACCTTAAACCTGAGGACACAGCCGTGTATTACTGTGCAAGAGACACAATGATTGACTTCCATTTAGATCTTAGACAAAAACCGTTCACTACATTCCTTTAGTGATGTTTCCAGAGGGGGCACTAAAGCACCACAAACCAGAAACTCACAGAGCAGAGAAGACAAAACAAGGGAACAACAATAGCTGTTATAATAGGGAACATCAGTTCTTCTTTGTCCTATCTCTAACCTATTGGGAGTTGTCCCATGATCATCTTTTTCCAATGCAGTGGGCCCATTCAAAACAAATTCATCCTGCCCAGTCCTTTCTTTCTCACATAGGGCTACTTCCCTCAAGATTTCTGTTCTTTCAAAATTTCTGATTACAGTGGAAGATATTCAGGAGCAGTTTGTGCCACCACCATGTTGTGGTCCTCATGGACTGAGAATAAAGTAATCTGGAAATACTATGCTCATTTCTTGAGACTCAGAGAAACTGATGTTCTGCCTAGATAAGTAAAACAACAGTAATTTACAGTCTTTCCCCATCACAGCACAATGCCATGTACTGCTACATTGTTACTTCCAGCTTGACCCACATAAATTAGACAGGCAGACCTCCTCCCATCCCAGATCCTTTCCACGTACAAAGTTCTTTCTTTTGAAGTGTGGCGCTGCACATGCCTCACCACCCAGCACCCAACTTAACAGCCTCCCTGCCTGCCTCACCTGCAATAAAAGCTGGTGATAATGGGTGGGGCTTGAATTCTCAAAGGGGTCAGAAGAGAGTCACCAATGAGTCAAGCATATACAACAAGGAAAATAATTATATTAATAACGTGTGCAATTATTTGGCCCAGCACATATGACCATTCCTGGAGCTCATATATGTTTCTGTCAAGATTCCATCAATATCTTTTGCTTTTTTCCAGAGTTTATAAGAAGTCAGAAGTTCTTCAATAGCAGCTCTTTTCACCATGATGTTGCAGCATTACTGGACTGGAAAGAATGCTCAGATTGGGAGGAAAGTGGGATGCTCTCATCCTCACCACAAACCTGCGACGTAGGGTAGCTGAGAGATAGGGACTAGCCCAAGGTCACCAGAGCTGCCATTTAAAGCACATAGCTTTTCCCAAAGAATCCTTCAAACAGTGATGTACCCCTCATAGAATTACAGTTCCCAGCATCCTTAGCAATGTAAAATTATCAGCATTCCATCAGGGATGCCATCTGCTTTCAATGCACTTTGAATGGATGGTGTGTACCCAATCTGGCTGAAGTACATGGCCAAATTGGAGTCAGTGTTACATTCTACCCATTACAACTTTTCTCTATGTGAGTGAGGATGTTGGTGGTTGGAGACTGACAGCACCAGCAACAAACCTGAGCCCTAAAACTGCTTGCAACAGCCTCTTCGCCTGCTATACATTACTGGAGAGGGTCTCATGCAAATACCTTCAGGAGGCTGTGGGTGGTTTGGAATGAAAATTCCTCAATATAAAAATTTCAAATGTTTCCTATTAGAAAGGCTCCTCTTCTCAATCCTTCTAGAGTCTAGGACATTTGTTCACTAACATTATGAAATTCTTGCTGCTCTTTCTTTCTTTGGTGGCCTTTCCAAAATGTAAGTAATTTTTTGTGAAGAGTTGTTTCATGTGGTCATTTGATGATTTTCAAACATTCACTGAAATATTCTGTGTTTCCAAGGGGTCTTCTCAGACATTCAGCTTGTATCATCTGGACCAGACATGGCAAAACAAGGGGAGAACTTCAGCCTGCTCTGTAAAGTGACAGGTTTCTCCATATATACTAATACTTATGCCTGGCACTGGATCCACCTGGTACCTAGGAAAGGCCTGGAATGGATTGCAAAGATACACCCTTATAATGGGGGGGACTTGGTATGCATCTTCTTTCAAGAGATGTGCAACCATTTCTTCAGATGCCTCTGGGAATGAATTCTCCCTCCAGCTGAACTCCCTGACAGCAGCAGATGCCTCTGAGTATTTCTGTACCACAGAGACTACCACAATGAGACAAGCTCTGTAAAAAAAAAAGGGGGGGGGACAATTCTCCCTGCAGAAATCTAGCTGCATTCAAATACAATAAATCAATCACTAAGCTTGCAAACACAAAGAGAAAGGACAATTCAATTAAATACTTTAAAAGTTATGAGGCATTCTCTAGGAGTAGGGTGTTATTTTCTCTTCTGTTTGTAATCTGGTGGGGTACGAGAGCTGAAAATAATGCCAATATATTTCACAGCTGGAAACCAAGGCACCCTTTGGTTTCATATAGTACATGGGCAGACAAGTCTAAAAAGCTTGGGACATAAATTTTCGTGGCCCTGCAGCGGCTATGGTGGCTCATTTACCAGAAATAATGTATTTAGCATTATCTCTGGAAGTGTATAGTGACCAAACTAAGGCTTCTAGAGAAAAATATACATAGGGGGATGAGTTTGGTCAGAATGTAGAATGCACTTTCAATGGGTCTACTCTGAGTATGACGCAGTCCCGTGGGGTGATTTTAAACTAAGCTTTACTCAATAACCAACCAAGACCTGTTTAGCAATCTTCACAATCCTCACAATGCAGGGGTAAAGCATGGGACTCACACATGCACTGGAAGCTTCTTTCACTTGGCTTAAATTCTGCAGGATAAGGATGGTTTGCAAAAAATCAGTGGTGTAGCATGGGTTCCCAGCTCCAGGGCATAGCTGTCAACTTTTTCCTTTTCTTGCAAGGAATCCTATTCGGAATAAGGGAAATTCCCTTTAAAAAAAGGAAAATGTTGACAACTATGCTCCAGGGGCTACGTGGAGGGGTGGGTGGGAGGGAAATGGAGTGCACTTATACATTAACTACCTAACGGTGTCTGTGTCACCCAGGAGATGACAGTCAACCACCCCTATGGCTATGTCACTGTGAACAATTCTGGCTCTGTGGATCCTGCCACCTGAGGCAATTTCTTCACCTTGCCTCATGGGTGGTTCAGCCTAGAAGCCTCTTTGCAACCAGGGCTTTTCATGTCCTTGCTGCTGCCCAGCTGTTCTATCCCCATGAACAGCAGCCCTGCCTAAGTCATGACACAACCTTACATGCCAAAACTGTTTCAGTGACTAATGCAGACTTGGCACAGTGTGATGCAGGAGTGGGCAACTCAGTTTAAGCTTCCTTGAGACACTTTGACACTGTATTGTGTAGAAAAGTCCTTTAGTTCACTTCATAACACTCAAACTCAAATGAGACATGTTACCCACATCGCTCACTTTCCCTGAGAGAAAAAGAAAACCTACGGAAGAAATTGGCCCAGAAAACTTGGATCAGTGAGCAACTGGCAGTTCATTCCCTTTCCAACCAACCTTCTACCCAAGATTCCACTTGTCTGGAGGTTTTTCGTCCCGTATTAATACTGTCCCCTCTTACACTGGCAGATTTATGCAAAGCCAAGTTTGTTTTCTCTTCCTACTTAAAGCCGCAAGTCTCTCACTTCACACAGACTTCCTGGCACAGCACTCAGAGCTCCATTCAGACCCATCCCACCACTATGCCTTCTTTCTTGATGATGCTCCTGGCACTGGCCGCCTCCTCTTCAAGTGTGTTAGGTCTTGCATTGTAGTTCATCACTTAATTTTGTATTTCTAAGATAATATTTGGCTGATGGTTTCTCCTTTTTTCCTTCCCTACCAGGTGTGCTCTCACAGGTGGTTCTGACCCAGACATCAGATCCAGTCTTGAAAAAACCTGGGGAATCCCATAAACTGAGCTGTGCCACTGCTGGATTTAATATTAACAGCAACTGGATGGGCTGGATCAGACAGAAACCTGGCAAAGGACTGGAATGGCTTGTTCACTATTATGATACGCGTTCTGGGTACAGTTATTATTCCTCTGCAATCCAAGGGCGATTTACAGCCTCAAAGGGTGGATCAAATTTCTATCTGCAAATGAACAACCTTAAACCTGAGGATACAGCTGTGTATTACTGTGCAAGAGACACAGTGAGAAGCTTCTTATTAGACCTTAGACAAAAACCCTTCATTGCATTCCTTTAGTAGAGTTTCCAGAGGGGGCACTAAAGCACCAGAAACTAGCAACTCTCAGAGCATAACAGACGAAACAAGGGAACAACAATAGCTGCTACTACAGGGAACATCTGTTCTTCTTTGGCCCATCTCTAGCCTATTGGGAGTTGTCCCATGATCATCTTGTTCCAACTCAATAGCCCCATTCAAAGCAAACTCATCCTGCCCAGTCCTTTCTTTCTCTCACAGGGCTTCATTATTCCCTCAAGATTTCTGTTTTTTCACGAATTCTGATTACAGTGGAAGATATTCAGGAGCAGCTTCTGCCACCAGTATATTGTGGTCCTCCTAGACCAGGAATAAAGTAATCTGCAAATACTATGCTCATTTATTGAGACTCAGAGAAACTGATGTTCTGGCCTAGATAAGCAAAATAATAGTAATTTGCAATTCTTTCCCCATCACAGCACAATGCCCTGGACTGCTACATTGTTCATTCCAGCTTGACCCACATACGTTAGGCAGGTAAACCTCCTCACATTCCAGCTACTTTCCCCAGGCAGCCAAGGTTCTTCCTTATCAAGTGTGGTGACGCTCAACTGAGCACCCAAATCAGCAGCCTCCCTGCCTGCCTCACCTGCAATAAAAGCTGGTGATAATGGGTGGGGCTTGAATTCTCAAAGGGGTCAGAAGAGAATCACCAATGAGTCAAGCATATACAACAAGGAAAATAATTATATTAATAACATGTGCAATTATTTGGCCCAGCACATATGACCATTCCTGGAGCTCATATATGTTTCTGTCAAGATTCCATCAATATCTTTTGCTTTTTTCCAGAGTTTATAAGAAGGCAGAAGTTCTTCAATAGCAGCTCTTTCCAACATGATCTTGCAGCATTACTGGACTGGAAAGAATGCTCAGATTGGGAGGAAAGTGGGATGCTCTCATCCTCACCACAAACCTGCAATGTAGGGTAGCTGAGAGATAGGGACTAGCCCAAGGTCACCAGAGCTGCCATTTAAAGCACATGGCTTTTTCCAAAGAATCCACGATCAGTGATGTACCCCTCATAGTATTACAGTTCCCAGCATCT